TGGTATACATCCTGAATTTCAAAGGCCCAAGGGCAAGGAGCTCAAATTTCTGAGGGCATAGAAGATGGATGCTCCAGATTAAAAAGAGAGAAAATTTCCTCTGTCTTATTGTTCCATTTGGGCCCTCAGTTAACTGAATGATTACTGCCCACATTGGATCTTATTTACTTAGTCTTCTAATTCACATGCTAATCTAATGTTGTGTTTTTCTTTTCATTTTTTTCAAGATATTTTTCAACTTCCCTTTTGATTTCTTCTTTGACCCACTGGTTGTTCCAGAATGTGTTGTTTAATTCCCACATACTTATGAATTTTCCAGTTTTCTTTATGATATGAGTTTCTAGTTTTGTTACATTGGGATGAGAACAGACACTTGGTATGAATTCAGTCTTCTTTCATTTGTTAAGACTTGTCTTGTGACCTAAAAGGGAATCTATCTTGGAGAATGTTCAATGTGTACTTGAGAAGAATGTGTATTCTGCTCTTGTTGGAGGAATATTCTGTATATGCTTGTTAGATTCATTCGGTCAATATTGTTTTTCAATTCCTCTATTTCCTTACTGATCTTCTGTCTGGGTATTGTATGCATTATTGAAAGTGGGTACTGAAATACCCTACTATTATTGTATTGCAGTCTATTTCTCTCCTTGGTTCTTTCAACATTTGTTTTATATATTTGGGTGCTCTGATGTTGGGTGCATATATATTTATGATTGTTACATCTTCCTGGTGAATTGACCCTTTTTTCATTATGTAATGTCCTTTATTGACTCTTGTGACAGAGTCCATTTTGTTTGAGATAAGCGTAGACCCCTGCTCTCTTTTGTTTACTATTTGCATGGAATGTCTTTACCCATTCTTTCACATTAATCCTATTTGTACTGTTAAATCTAAGTAAATTCTTGGAGACAGTGTTTAGTTGGATCTTGTTTTTTGAATATCCATTTGGCCACTATATATCTTTTAACTGGGATTTTATTCCATGTATGTCTAAAGCAATTATTGATAGGGTAAGGTGTACAATTGACATTTTCTTAATTGTTTTTTTTCTGTGTTGTAACTCTTCTTTGTCTCTTTTTCTTTCTTGCTGTGTTCATTTATGATTTTTTATTTTTTTAGTGACATGTTTTGATTCCTTTTCATTTTTTTCTGTATATCTTCACTAGACATTTTCTATGTGGTTTCCATGAGGCCTATATAAATGATCTGTTTTAAACTGATAACAACTTTAATCACATACCTAAACTTTACACTTTTATTTCTCTCCTCCAACTTATATTATTAGTATCATAATTGAGATCTTTTTATATTTTATATCCATTAATATATATTATAGTTATTTTTATACTGTTATTTTTAACTTCTATATGAAAATTAAGTGATTTACTCATTACTGTTGCAGTATTAAAGTACTCTGTATTTACCTTTATCAATGAACTTTATACTTTTATATGCATTCTTGTTTTTAAACACTGAGGATTACCTTTAGTATTTCTTTTAAGGCAGGTCTACTGGTGATGAACTCTCAGCATTTGTTGTCTCTCCTTCATTTATGAAGGACTGTTTTTCTAGATATAGTATTCTGTTTAGCATTTTTTTTTTTATCTTACAGCACTTTGATATTTCATCTTATTTACTTTGGCCTGCAAGGTTTCTGCTGAGAAATCTGCTGATAGTCCTTTGGGGATTTTATTGTATATCATGAGTCACTTTGCTCTTGCTGTTTCAGAATCTTCACTTTGTCTTTGACTTTTGATGATTTTGGTAATAATGTGTCTAGGTGTTGACATCTTTAGGTTCATCCTATTTGGAGTTTGTTGGACTTCTTGAATTTTCCTTCCCATATCTGGAGAGTTTTCTACTATTATTTCTTTAAATAAGAATTCTGCCTTTTCTCTCTCTTTTTCTGGGACTCCCATAAGACATATATTAATTTGTTCAGTGGTTTTCCGTAAGTCCCTTATGCTTTCTTTACTCTTTTTCAGTTATTTTTCTTTCTTATTCTTTGGCTGGATAACTTCAAATGGCCTATCTTTAGGTTTACTGATTCTTTCTTCTGCTTGATCAAGTCTGCTGCCAAACCTCTCTTGTAAATTTTCAGTTCAGTTATCATGTTCTTGAGCTCCAAAATTTCTGCTTTTAAAAAAAATATTGTTTGTTGAAATTCTGAGTTTGTTTATGCATCATTTTCCAGAGCTCATTGAGCATCTTTATTATAGTTATTTTGAACTGTTTATTATCAGGTAATTCACATACCTTGTTTCTTTAGGGTTGGTTTATTGAGATTTATTTGGTCCATTTTGATTGGACCATCTTTTTCCATTTCTCTGTTTCTTTTAGCTTTGTGTTGGTGTCTATACATTTGAAGAAACATCCTCTTTACAGACTGGCTTTATACAGGAAGAGACCTTTATCAATCAGACTGGATAGAGAATCCTAGGGCCTTATAAACATTTTCTGTGTATGTGTATTCTCTGGACTTGTGCATGTAAATTCCTAACTGAAGGAATTTTCCAGTTTCATTTTTTCAGGAGCTTGTAATATCTTGTTCCTCTGGTGTCTATCTGCTGTACCATGGATTCTCTGGAGCAGCAGTGTGTCACCCAGCTCTTTTGCTCTTAACAGCCCCCAGGCATCTATAGTATACCTGGTTCCATTCACATCTAAAATTGGGTAATGCCAAAACAGGTATCCCCATTAAAAACCAAACATTGGACACATACTCCGTAAGGAAAAGCTGTGAGTTGGGGATTTTCACCTGCTCATTCTGCACAGAACTGAAGAAGAGACAATGGTGAGTGAGTGTGCACTAAACCGTCACCTTTGTTCTCAGTAGCCTCCAGTTTGGCACCCTTTTCTTTCAGTGCTCAGAGTCAGGCAAGACAGAAACAAGTTCCTTAGGCAGGCCCCTGAAAAGCTGGCATGTTGGACATTTGGACATATATTTCAGTCTTTTCTTTACCTCCCCAGAAAGCAGCTGTGAAGCAGAGCCAGTGTGACTTGGTTAATGTCTTGTCTAAATCTGGTGACACAGGCACCCATGAACACAATGAGTTACTTAAAGTGGGTTTATTACTTAGAGATATGTAGCAAAGGACAACAGAGGTCTAGGATTCATTGTAATTTGGTCCCCCAAGACTCAGGAAGGCTGCTCAGGCGGGTGGAGTCTTGTCTGTACATCCTTCACTTGCACCACAGCTGAGGATCCCAGGAAGCAGCCTGCCCTGTGTTTTATATCCCAGAGAAACTTGAATCACTGGTCTAAAGCATTGGAGGACATCTGTTTCTACAGAGGGGACTGGAAAAGAGCCCAGGCTGTTCCAGTCTGTTCTTCCTTATTTCAGGATGTTGTATCCTCAGCGCCTTCTACATTCCTGAGAACTACAAGCAAGAAAAGGGAGATAACTGGGTTGGTCCAAGACCACCTGGAAAACTGTCCTGCAAAAGCCAGGAGCTGGGGATTTCTTTTTAACTGCATGATGATGTACCGGGGGAGGGACAATGGCAGAAAGGGTGGGTACCACAGGCTTTCATATTGGCTTTGATGCTGCTGATTTCATACTTGCCTGGAGTATAGGAGCCTCTTAACTGGTTTCTGGATTTCTCATAAAGGGAATTGGTCTAAGTATTATTGTTGAGTCATTGTCTCCATGCAGGGAAGGAGGGTCTGGGATTTCCTATCCTGCCATCATGTTCAGCAGTATCTTTATTTCTTTTTTTCTTATTTTGATTTGCTCGTATTTTCTTGAGGATTTTTGCATCTATATGAATGATATTGGTCTGTAATATTTTTTGCTTATTATGAAATTGACAGGATTTGGTATCTAAGTTGTCCTCTAGAAGAATGTGTGTAAGTTTATGTGTTATTTATTCCTCAAAGTTTGGTAGAATTCAACTGTTAGATCCCCTAATCATTGAGTTTTCTTTTTGGGAGTCTTAAACTACAAATTTTGTTTTTAAAAATATCTATGAGACTATACAAATTCTGTATTTATTATGTCAGCTTCAGTATGTCATTCATCTTAGAATTATTTTATTATTTGCATCATCTGTACTAATGTTCATTTTTATGTTCTTGATTTTAGGATGTTTCTCCCTGCCTCCTCAACCTTTTCTTTCCTTTATGCATCAGCAGTGTTTTAAAAATTTTAATAATCTTTTTGGATTTTAAGGTTTTTTAAATTTTTTTTTAATGTATGCTTGTTTTTGCTCCATTAATTTTTACTTTTTTAAAATTATTTATTTTTTTTCTATTTTTTGGGGTGGAGCTTACTTGGTATTTTTTCTGACTTTTTGAAGTATAAGTTTTATTTTTCATTTTCAGCTTTCTTGTTTCCTAATACACGTGTTTAAGTACATATAATTTTTATAGCACATTTTAGCTTCATTCTATATGTTTTGACAAGAATATTTTCTTATTATTTAATTAAATTTTATTAAGTTTCATCTGAGCAATAAGAAAGTATATTTCCTTTTTCTCCTAATGTATAGGGGAACCTACTAGTCATCTTTTTTTTTTTCTCATTTCTAGCTTATACTCCTGTTCAAAATGTAGTGTTTCAAAATGTCTGGAGACTTTACTGCTTTTCGTGGTCAAAGGACTACTTAAATATCTGCCCTAATTTCTTTTTTGTCATTCGTGGACTCTAGTTTTACATATCTTTGCCAATTTCATTATATCCTTTTAATCTCTTTTGCCTTTACCTTTTTTTAATTCTCCTTCTGTATCAATGCTTCAGCTGATACATCTTTATCCAGTTTAAAGTTTATTTTGTAAACTGATGTTAAAATTTTAATGATATTTTTATTTCCAAATTATCTATTTTTTATATCTATTATTATGCTATGGTTTTGTCTTATAATCTAAGTAATGTGTTTTAAATTGGGTGGGTCAGAGAAAAAAAGAACTTACTGGAACTAGAAGCAGAAATCTGTGCTATAAACAATTACATTATACTAACCTCTCAACCTATAATTGTTTTTCCATTAGGGTCAAAACAATGGCAGTGACAACCAGATTGGCATGGAAGAAGGAAAAGGCACTGCAAAAACTTCTTGGAAATGTGTCTTTGAGTCTTCTTTATAAGTCTAAGGTTCATGGGGATAGCATTGAAGATATGGTTCAGAAGTGCACTCATCAGGGATCCACCATAACAGTGATTTACTTTTACCGATATGTTATTGGGGCCTTTATGCTTGGGCATTACCCTGAATTAGACAATTATTCTGAAGAATCGAAGTCTTTTTTGTTTTCATTTCGAGAGAATGGTGACACAATTGAAACGACAAGTTCAGATTTAAATATAGTAGCAAAAATTATTAACAGAGAACTGACATTTTATTCACATTATAAGGATATGTGTTCTGTATTTCCTAGTACTAAAACACTTAAACTGACAAGTAGTCTAAAATTATTATTAAAACTAAGATTTTCCTCTCCCTCTACATATGATGAATGTGAAGTTTTTCGAGTTGAAGGTACGTTAAATTAGTATATCCTACATCTTACATTCTGGTTCTAGTCTTTGTGTTTGGTAGGTCATAAATGATGTACAAGGACAAATAAAATCAAAGGAACAATTAGATTTAATGCCAGAAGACACTCTGACACACTCCAAAATGAAACCTAGGGGACATAATGGTTGTGAAGTTATTATCCAGAATGTATAGGGTACTTTGAGCAAAGTAAGTTGAAGAGAATATGTGTAGAAATAGAAATAGAGAGAGAGAGAGATAGAGATTATAGAGACAGAGATAGAGATGATAGTGTTAGAGACAGAGATAGAGATAGAGAAGGAGAGACAGAAAGAGAGAGAGAGAGAAAGGAGAGAGAGAGAGAGAGAGAGAGAGAGAGAGAGAGAGAGAGATCTTACCATAAAGAGAGAGAGATCCCACCAAAGAGCTGTTATGTTTTGACACATGACCCAAAGATCAGCCTTAGGACCTCTACACATAGTTATGTGAGAGTTGCCAGAGCAAGTTAATGTTGAGAGGATTCTCTTCCTCTCATTATGCTGCCAGCCCTATCTCCTAACTGAACAGCTCAGCCCTGGATTATACAGCAGACATAATTTCCTATTTGGGAGGTAGACTGGCCACTTTAACTGGACAAATTAAAAAACATATTGCACTATGTTTATTTCCTATAGGAATTAAGGATAATCCAGGCTACATAAGGAGGATAACAGGAGTCACACAGTAAGTTAGATTCTTGGACTAACTATTGCTCATTTCTTTTAGACCAATTGTGTAAAGGGCGCTGACAATAAAATAGTACAAAAGATAATTGTATTATTGGAATGATAAAAAATTAGTTATAATGTTATTGACAGAAAATATTCAAGGTGATTTAGTACAACAACAGCAACAAAACCACTACCAACTGTGAAGTTTTAAAATCCACCTGGTGACAACTAACCAATTTGACTTCATGTTTCACTTTGGACCTGTTAGATTCAAACTTTTCCAGATAGAGTCTAGATAATCATTTTAGATAATCACTCTAATTTTTTTCCTTGAGAATATAGCTTTTGGGAAATGAAAACTTAGTAAATGTTAAAAGCAGAGCCTTCTTGCCCCAATTTATAACTAGATAGCTACATGGCATATATTTTATTTTGTTTTCTCTTTAATATAATAGTTTTAGTAAAAATAACTCATATTTAATATTATTGATATTTCTCATTAGATTTATGTGGCCTAAGGTTAGTAGTTTAATAATGGCTTAGTTGCTGGTTAATGTTTAGTGTTAGTCAGATATAGATAAATGCATTTTTCTCAAGCATAAGATGCATAAACTTAGACTCTTCAGATTGTATTGCAGACAATGCTACTATCAAAATAATAAATAAGTAATTAAAACATACCTTTAAAGGGGAAGAAAAAAACTTCACGTGAATTGTGCTTTTTTTTTTTTTAATGAAAGTTTAGCTATTCTATTTAACTACCGCATTTTAACAGGAGAAGAAATATGCTCTTGAATGACCTCAGAGCTTATAAACCCTGTGCAGACTTGGTTTCAAAAATTCGCATTCTTTTGCTGGGTCCAGTTGGGTCTGGAAAGTCCAGTTTTTTCAATTCAGTGAAGTCTGTTTTCCAAGGTCATGTCACTCACCAAGCCATAGTGGGGTCTGATTCTGCCAGCATTACTGAACAGGTAAGTCATTTCAGAGAATTTTTTTTTATAATTACAATTTAATTAATTGATTTATTTGCCATTTTATTTTCGAGCATAAACCTCCCCCTAATCTACAAACCATTGAGTACTAAATCAAATGTAAAATAGGGAGTAAAATTTGAATTAGAATTTCCTCCACTGAGTTATATTGTGCAGAGAAGACTTCAATTATAATGGAGGCAAGAAGCAGTTATATGAAGAATACTTTTTGGTATCTGCTGTAAAAAACCAAAATTTTAAAAACTCTGAAAATATTTGCCCATTATATTTGATGTCTATTTTTACTCATGTTTTACATGATTATACATGGATTAAAGTGATCTTCTTTTTTTGTGGTAAAATAATGAGATTTATATAATACAGTAATTTGCTATTATGTAAGATCATTCTATAAGAAATGGTCAAGAAAAGCAAAACAGTGATTCACTTTGGTGGGTCAGTCTTTGTAAAGTAAATTTACCTATGCTTCTACAAAAATTATCTTATTTGCAAACATATTTAAGGAAATAAATGTTAATACAGATTTTTTTATTGTTGCTCTAAAGATCTACAAATTAGGGTGCAATATTTATCTAGAAACTTCTTTCTGGTTCATGCTTGTCAGTGTTATCACACAATCAAGCAAAAATAAGGGAATAAGTAGAAAATTTCATAATAAGGTTGTG